GCAGAACCTCGGGTTCACGCCGGTGCAGGCCGGGCTCGCGTTCCTGCCGATGGTCGCCTCGATCGTCACCGCGTCGAACACCGTGCCCGCGCTGCTGCTGCCGCGGGTCGGCCCGAAGGCGCTGCTGGTGGCGGGCATGCTCGCCGCCGCGGGCGCGATGTTCTGGTTCTCGTTCCTCACCCCGACCTCGGGCTACGTGGCCCACGTGCTGCCGCCGCTGGTCCTCATGGGGCTCGGCATGGGTACCGCGATGTCGACGGCGATCAACACCGCGACCCTCGGCGTCGCGGCGGGCGACGCCGGCGTCGCCTCGGCGACGGTGAACACGATGCAGCAGGTCGGCGGCTCGGTCGGCACGGCGCTGCTGTCCAGCGTCGCCGGCACGGCCTCGGCCGCGTGGGCCATCACCGCGCGACCGGTCGCGAACGCGGCGGACGTCGCCCTGCACGGGTACACGCAGGCGTTCGCCGTCGCGGCGCTGATCTTCGTGGGTGGCGCGGTGGTCTCCGGGCTCCTCGTTCCCGCGGGCCGGCCGCACCGGGTCGAACGCACGATGAGCACGGCGCCGACCGCGGGCACGTCCGCCCCGCGGGCTCTGCCCGCTGCCGCGGCGCCGTCGGACGGTGTCGGGCGGTGGGGCGGTCCCGACGCGGTCACCGCCTCGCCCCGGCACGCACCGGCGGACGGCCCGCGGCGGTTCGCGGTGCACGGCGTGGTGTGGGGTGGACGCGGACCGACGACGGTCACCCTCGTCGACCTCGCCGACGGGACCCAGGTCGGCCGCGCGGCGGTCACCGTGGTGCGACCCGACGACGGCGCCGACTTCCACCTCCTCGCCCCCGGGCCCGGCTCGTACCTGCTCGTCGGCCGGGCCGCGGGCGCGCAGCCGGTCGCCGACCGCATCGACGTCGCGGACCGGTCGGTGAGCCGCGACCTCGTGCTGCGGCCCGCCGAGCCCGCCGTCCCGGCCTGATCCCGGCTCCGGTGCCCCGCGCCGGCGCCGGAGCTCGATGCGCGAACGCGTCGTCGTCGTGCGTGGGGCGACGCGGGGCGCCGTCGGGCCGCACCGCGCTCACTCGGTGTGGTGCGACTCCGGCAGGGCGTAGACCGGGGTGTCGATGCCCTCCTGGCGTGCCTTGAGCTGCAGCGCGAGCAGGAGCGAGTAGAAGCGGGCCTGTTGCAGGTTGCCACCCTGGAACCAGAGGTTGCGCTGCTGGGTGGGCTTCCACATGTTGCGCTCCTCGCCCTCCCACGGGCCCGGGTCCTTCGCGGTGCCCGACCCGAGGCCCCAGACGCGACCGACCCGGTCGGCCACCTCGTCGCCGAGCACGTCGGCGGCGAGCCGGATCATCGACCGGTAGCCGGTGGCGTAGACCAGGACGTCGGACTCGATCCGGCTGCCGTCGGTGAGGACCACGCCGTCGGCGACGACCTCGGCGATCTCCCCGCGCCGCAGCTCGATGTCACCGTTCGCGACGAGCTCGGACGCCCCGACGTCGATGTAGTAGCCCGACCCGCGGCGCAGGTACTTCATCGTCAGACCGGAATCGTCCTCGCCGAAGTCGACGTCGAACCCGGCCGCCTCGAGGCGCTCGTAGAACTCCGCGTCCTCGGAGCGGATGAGGTCGTAGATCGGCTTCTGCCACCGGTGCATGATCCGGTAGGGCTGGGAGGCGAAGAGCAGGTCACCGGTGTGGACGTCGATGCCGGCGTCGACGGCGTCCTCGGAGTACAGCGGGCCGATCGCGTGCTCGACGAACCGGTCGGACCGGACCACGTGGGTCGAGGAGCGCTGCAGCATCGTCACCGTGACGCCGGCCTCCCACGCGGCGGCGGCGATGTCGTGCGCGGAGTTGTTCGAGCCGACCACCAGCATCCGCTTCCCGGAGAGGCCCTCGGGACCGGTGTGCTGC